CGAGATATTTATAAGTGGACTATGATATTTTACATAAATCAAGCAAACACAACTTTTAATTTATGCCTTTACATGTTAAGTCTTATGTAGATTTCTTGTTCATTAGTGATGAATAGCTTGTCGAATATTGAAGGACCATTCATTAATTCATATTGAACACAATTTGTGTCATAACTCGTTATCCTTCTACATCAATGTTGTCATTCTATTAGGGTACTTATGAAGTCCAATATGACGGTTTACCTAACTTTTATATGGTGATCACTAATAAATTTGAAAATATTTGTTGCCAATCTACTACAAGCAACTTATCAATAATGATATAGAACTTGTTAATTAACACATTCAACATCATAGAAACTTTTTAATTTTCCGATGTCAGAGCTATCATTATAGTTGGGATGAGTATCCAATTTGAAGCTTGACAAACCAATAAGTCCCCAAGATTGTTGCTATAATAGTGTTACCAACTAGTAAATCATGTAACATCCTATAACATATAACTTTTTCACAGCTAAAAATGAAGCATGGGTTTACAAAGAGTGGTAAAAAAATCATGAGAAAAGGATGGAAAATTACCACACACATAGAGGCATGCACACTACAAAAAAATAGACGTCGCCAAAGGTTCAAAAGTCGCCGCTAAAAGTTTTTAGCGGTGACTTTCCGCCGCTAAAATTCATCACTATAACAATTATCATTAATAGTTTTTGGTTGCTGTCAAAAGTCTTTTTGCTGTTAAAAGTTTTTAGCGGTGACAATTTGCTGCCATCAAAACTTTTTTTAAGAAATAATACTTTATTTTATGTCACATCACTCTGTCATGTGTGCATTAAGTGATACCACAGCACTATCATATATGCAACAGATTATGCCACGTACTTGTCATCTTGTGCTACGTCATAGTTCCACGTGTTTAATAGATAATGCCACATTACCTGGCCATATCATGCCATGTCACATGACATGTGTGCACTTCCTCAAGCCACCTCATGTGCCACGCCACCTGTCACGTGTGTGCCCCTTTAAGCTACCTCATGTGTCACGCTACCATCTCGTGCCACATCACTTGTCACGTGTGTGCCTTCTCAAACCACCTCACGTGCCACATCACCACCACACGCCATGTCATATATTTGTTGTAAAATATGGCAAAGCCAATGTTTGAATCCTTGATCTCTCCCTTTTCTAAGCCTTAAGCCTCTCTTTTTTGCTAGTTGAATTGAAATGTACTTACAGTTATTATATGCAAAATTAAATATATATTATGTAACTACATACATATATATCAAATAATATATGATTAAAAAGATATATATATATATATATATTATATTTTATTTTCAATTATTAATATGAAAAAATAATTTATATGAATATTTAAATTATAATTTTAATAAAATATTATTTTTTACAGTAAATATTTTTTTTAGGAAAATGAACTAAAATAAAAATTTTTAAATATTAAATAATATTCTTATATACATTGTAATAAATTTTTAAATGATATTTTTATTTTTTAAATGAAAATTATTAAGTATATAATTTATTTATAAATATATATTATATTATTTTATGTTAAATATCTTTTACTTTTTTGTTCATATTTTTCTCAAAAATTGATAAATTAAATGATTAAATTTTTATCTTCTCCCAAAATAGCTAAATGTTTCCCCCTCTTTTAATAAAAATATATTTTATAGATAATTTTTCAATATCTTAAAAAAATATTTTAATAAAAAATTAATTTTAACCCCATAAATTTTGTTAATAGTCATTTTGAATAATTTTGAAAATGAATACTAATAACTTTTACAATATATGATAATTACAAGAATCTCATATGTGATCAATCTAGTTAACATCTAATCATTTTCAATCTCATAGCAAGGTGGATTTGAGTAGTTATTCATATTATTCTTAGTAATAATTAGTTATAAATGTTATTATAGCAATGAAAACCTAAATATACTAGGAGGACTTATATGAAATTTGTCCAAAAGTCATTAGAGCTCAATAAAGAAGTAAATACCATATGTATATCAAGTTAAATATAAAGTGCACAATATGTTAAGTAGTTTATAATGTCATTTACATCTCATGATGTTTGCACAACTTTAACTTCCTATTGCCATTTATATATTTCATTGTAAGTAATAATTTATGTATAACTTAACCTAATTATAATTGAAGTAATAACCGATTAAGATTTTAATTTATCATATTAAAATACTAGCTTAATAACATAATTCTTAAAAAAAATATGAGCTATATATGTCTAAAAAATGATTATGAATAATATAAAATTAAAAAAAAAATTTAATAATTAAACTTAGCACACTTTGACTATTATTTTTTTTTGTTTCACATTCATATATATAACTTATTTCTAATTCTATACATAAACTAAGAAATTTAATTTCATAAATATATTTTAAATAATTTTATTTAATTTCAAATTTTTAAAACAATTCATAATTTTTATAAAAAAACTAAATTATAATTTTACAAATATTGCCATCAAAAATAGATTATATAAATTATTTTTTATAATAATACTTTTGGTGATGACAAATGTCTCCGCCAAAAGTAAATTATATTAATTATTTTTTAATTTTTAAATTATTTTTATAAAAATACTTTTAGTGGTGGCAAATGTTGCCACCAAAAGTAAATTATATTAATTATTTTAATTTTAATTTATTTTTTGTAAAAATACTTTTGATGGTGACAAATCAAGTTGGCGACGACTTTGATTTGTTGTTGCTAAAAATATAATTTTGGTGGCGACTTTTAGCTGCGATAAATCAAAGTTGCCACCAACTTTGATTTGCCACCGCTAAAAGTCCACTTTTGATAGTTGCCGCTGCCAAAAATTATCATCAAAAGTCATTTTTTTTTATAGTGGCGCACACAGAGGGGGGGTTCACGAAAAATGATTTGCAAATATAGGGAAAAAGAATGAGCATACAAAACTTCCCCGTAATACCCGTTGATACCTTCAATACTCTGAAAATGAGTAATGGACAATTTTGGTGAACATGAACAAGGAGGATCAAGGAAGAACATTGAAATGCACAATTTTAATTAGTTCATTCTCAAACCTTCAATTAACCAAGTTGAACAGCGCCATCAACTTCATTCATAAATGTTGGGATACCAAGTGTAAATTGACTTAGCTTGGCATATATGAAAAAAAAAGGTCCAAAGTAAAATAGAATTGAGCTAGAAAAGGATATAAAAAAAAAAAAAACCCATAAACTGATCTCCTGAAGGCAATGGTAGCAGAACATTCATTTATTCATATTTAAAAAGAAATATTTTTATATTCATGATTTGACAACGATCAAATAAATTGCGTCTCCATTTAATACATCATCAATAATCATTCATTTCTCTGCTCCTTGAGAGGATGTTTTACAACATTTTTCGAAAGACATATCACTGAGAGGATCCTTTTTCAAAGTGGTTGAGATGAATTTAATAATTGAGCACAATAATTGATTATTAACTTTAAGCTTTTGATTACCTCACACAAAAAAATTAAGATTGTGATAATTGGATGATTCATATTTAAATGCAAAATATAATATTTATTTGTATGTTGTTTGTAAAACATTAATTAATTCATAACTAGAGGATGATTATCATTTAGAAATCCTAAACTAATGTAATTGTTTTTTTATAAGTTTTTGTAACGTACGCGAGATATGTCTAGTTAGTTAAAATTAATAAGCTAATAAAATAATACATACCAATACCACTGTCTATCATACAAATATTGAGGTCCAGCTCTATCTCGCAGGCGGGGTGTGTGTGTGTCCATTTAATTCTTTTATCAATTGACCTATCTTTTCTAATTTAACATTTAAGTAAATTCAGACCATTGATACATATGTTAAATTTTAAAATACTAAATCTTGGGAAGTACAAAGTTTTTTTTTTTAAATTGGGATTCTCAATGTTTCACCCAGTTGTTAGTATATATATTCATGTATTGTTAGTTAAAACCCTAGTCTATATCATCGTCAATCAATATATTGAGCAATTATCACCTTAATTTATGGTTTATGATTTTTATCATTATCATATCTTACAAATTGCAATCATTATATCATTCAAAATTTTCCTTTCTTTTTCCAATTTTCCTTCACCCTTCAATTTCTTGCATCAACTTTTACCTTCAAAATTCAACAGAGACAACATTAATGTACCTAAAGATATATTCATTGAATGTAAATTATATATTTTTTTTGGGGGTCTGAATGTAGTTATAGATTCAGAACTATTAATTATGCCATATTTCATATTTATCCATTTCAAAAAAATTATGGAAACAAAATTTAGAGAGTTCATATTTCATTAAGCAAATCCTACACCCATTCTTCTATGGTTTTGTTCTTTTACATGCCGATATACCCCAAATTCAAATAGACTCACCATCCAAATGTACCTCGTACATGTTCATCAGGAAAATTCATCTCATGGTGAGAAAAAAAACCTTTTTTAACAAATTCAATTATTCCTATAATTGATAATAATAAAAAGAATCAAATTACCTACTAAAATTGGAGGGCCCTTATCACTTAAGCAAGTGGTTGGAAGTTCAAATTGCAATCCTTGAGTTTGTAGTAATTTAGTTGGGAGATATCTACCATTTGCCTTCTGTACCTTATGGTTGGGGGAGATAATATCTACTATCGGTGAAGTCCACTTGTTATGCTACACAAACTAAAATAAAATAAAATAAAATAAAACTCATCTGATTACGTGTCAAAGCAATTAATCTCAAATAATCATGCATGCATGTTCGTTGAATGAATCATGTTTAATTATCCTATTTAAAGACATGGAAATGAATTTTCCTCTTATCATTGTTTATATACAAGCCCCCAATCTTACTCCAATATGCCTATAAATACAAGCCTCCTAACAAGAATTCCAACTTCAAATCAACAACACACACATAGCCCCACAAAGTACGAACTAACCCTTTAGACATGACTAGTCTTGATATAATCTTCAGATTTTCTATTCAACTATTCGGCGCGCTCTTCAACTACCTCAAGTTAGCTTCGTCCTACTTCAAATGGGTTTTAGAGTTCCTTCTCTACCACCCATTTTACACCCTCCATGTTCATCATCATCAGTTTCAAGAGTTTCATCAGATCGTTACAGAAGAAGAACAAGTGGAGATATGGCGTCATCGCGGAGAAGAAGTGGATTGTGCAGTGTGTCTGAGCAAGATTGGTGAAGGAGACGAAATTAGTGTGTTGAGATGTGAGCATGTTTTTCATAGGCTTTGTTTGAATCAATGGATCGGGTTCAGCAACTTTACTTGTCCTCTTTGCAGAGACTTTCTGGGTTCTGGGATTAGAACTGTTCTTTTCTTCAAGTTTTCTTCATTCTCTGATAATTCTGATCAGCGTGAGAACTGGTGGCTTCGATAGAGAAATAGAGCATCAACCTGTACACGTATATCATATTCGTGTTTATAAAATAAAATCTGTTTATTAAACAAATTATGACTCTGAAATGTATTAGATACAACTCTTGGTGAATATATATGTTGAATTTTTCATGTGAACCAGCATATATCAAATTTACTTAAAACCAAATTATCGATTTGCATCTAGTGAGACACAAATTCACTTATGTTATGTTGGATATGCATGTGGATTTGAATTTGAGTCAAATTTATTGTTTGGGTAATTAAAAATATGTGGACTTAGATTTGATCTAAATCTAAAATCAATTCTTACATCAATCATTTCATTATTTTAAATCCTTTTTAAATCCATATTATTTCAAAATTCTATGGAAGCTCCTCTCTTTCTTTACATTAATTCATCGATTTTGCTACCTTCTCGACTTCGGTATCATTGCCTTTAGCCAACTTCTATTAGGATCGAACTGCTGGCGTTGACTAGGACTGGATGACCAATTTTCACAGGGATGGGATCGCAAGTGTTGATTGGGACTAAATGCTACCTTTGACTATGACTGGACCACCAATGTCAACTGAGACTTGATGATTGACAATAATAAGGACCAGATTGTTGAGAGCAAGTTAGGATTAGATAACCAACATCAACTAGGATTAGATAACTGACTTTGACCAAGACTAGTTCGCTAATGCTAATTGGGATTAGACCACCGGCGATGACTAGGACCGGATGAAAGATTGTGATCGAGACTTGACCATTAGGCCAACCAAGATTGGACGATCAACTTTGGCCACGACCGGACCACCAGTATCGATTGAATTTACGAATTTCAAATTTCAATTCATTTTCAACCACCTCTTACCACATAATGCCGACTTGCCATTGTCGTTATCATTTAATGCCGGTCTAATACCATCATCTGATGTTAGTCTGCAACCAACTTTCGCTGCTAGTCTATCGCACCCAATTGATATCAATTTGTCACCACCATTATCGTCTAAGACCATTCAATGATCGCCATCTTCAATCTAACCACCTTCATCATTTGACCAAATAGGACCTACAGCATTCAATCGTGATTAAACTACTAATGTCATTTGGGGTTGGATAGCCAAAGTTGACTGAGACTAGGCTATTACCCCTGATCTAGACTAGGCCATTGACTTTAACTAGGATCAGACTGCTAACTTCATCTGAGTTGCTTTTAAATTTAAACATAGAATTTAAAATTTGAAATTCTATTTAAGATCAAAACAAAGGATTTTAATATTATAATTTTAAATTTTTTATATCATCCAGATAAAGAATTTAAAATCTATGAATTTCAAATGTGAGACTTTAAATTCAAATTTTTAACTCAAATTCACCCATCCAAATACAACCTTATTGAATAAGTGTCCCATGTTACACCATAATAACCATTGATTAGATTTTAGTATTATAACGTAATACTAAAAAATTATTGACTTTCCATTTTTTTGAAGAGATAGCATACATGAGGTGTGTTCTGAATGTGAGGGTTGTTTTGAATTTTTAAAGAGAAATATTTTTTTTGATAATTTTCAAGTGTTAATGAAATTCAATAGGGTTTTAATATTGAGATACTCATCTGGTGAGTGAATTTATGACACTCACCAGATTCAAATTCATTAATTATTCTTGTTTCTAAGGTTAAAGCTAGCTCAAATAATGCATTTTATTGGACTACACTAATAAGTTTACGGGCCTGTTTGTTTATGATTAATGAAAAACGGTGGATTATGATCAGAGCCGGCCATTGTTGAATGAAAATACATTCTCAACTAATTTCAATAAGTGATTTTGATTAACTTATCAAAATAAGATGAACAATTTTTGTTCTCCCAACAATTCCTTTAGGTAGTGTTTGAATTAATGAATTTAGATTTAAAATCTTACATTTTAAATCTCACATTTAAAATATATGCATTTAAAATCCTTTGTTTGGGTCCTTTAAATTTAAATGAAGAAGAGAGATGAATTGAGATTCCAAATGAAAATAAAAAATTAAAAATGACAAGTTTATTTTTATTTTTTAATCAATAATGGATAAGAAAAGATATGAGAGTAATAGATCATGTATCAATAGTGAAAACAAAAAGAAAATAAAATGTTTAAAGTGATTATAATTTCAAATGATTATAGTGTAGAAGAAATTTAAAATTATGAAAGAATTATAATTTGTAATGGATTTGGATCTGAATTAAATTCAAATTCAAAAATTTTGTGTATCTGAATGAGAGAATTGGTCCAAATTCAAATCCAACTTCAAATCTCAATTAATCCAAAGGCATCATTATGTAACTTAATAAAAAACACGTTTTTCTTTTTAACAAGCTTGAAGCAAATGGGCCTGAAGTGATTTTTCCATTTACTAGTAAGTCAACAATCTAGGGTTACATAAGGAGAGGTTCTCGCTCTCTATCTATAGATGTGATTAAGGTAACAGTGAGAAACACATAATAGGTTGAGATGATAATTTACTCTCTATCTTTTCATGCTGTAATATATTGAGTTTACTCTACCTATTAGGTTACTCAACATGGTAAATATCATTTTTCTAATTCACTCTATACATTTTTTTATGTAGAGTGTCTAAATATTAATATATAATTTAATGCGGTGGCATAATACCATGGATTATTAGTAGAGCCGGAAAAAGCCAACCTGTTTAAGCTCAATAATTACTAAGGTTGGGTTTGAGTTTTAGAGCTTTAAAATAGAACACGAGCCCATTAGGGCCCTACGGGGCCAGCATGTTTAGGCCTATTTATTTATTTATATTTTAAAATGTTATTTATTATGATAATAATATTGATATTTTTTTGATAATGTTTCAAATATTTAGTTGTTATAGTAATTTTTTTAGAATTAAAATTTACATAATACTTTAGTTTGTTTAATATTTTTTGGATAGAGCTTGGTTTGCTTAATTCTAGACAATGATGTATTTGGATAAAAAAATAATTTTTTGTTCTAATTTAGATTCTAGAAAATAATTTGATTCATGTTACGTATGTGTGTTAATATTTTTAAATTATATTTTTAATAATACATTATTTTTATATTTATATAATTTTGTATTGTATGATTTGAATTAGGAATTTATAAATTTTAATGTTTCATTATTTGAAATAAGAGAATTTTTCCATAATCAAGATATTGTTGATATTAAGACTTAAGATGTTGTCTATGTGATTTAATATTGAACTAAAATTTTATATTGTAATGGAATGAATTAATTATTTTTAATTTAAAAATCAAAAAAATAAAAGAGCTCGAACCTTGCAAGGCCGGCCCTAAGCCTGCTATATTTAGGGTCGGGCTTGAGATATAAGCCCTCCAAAGAAAACTCAAGCTTAAATGGGCTGGCCCTTTTAAGCCCGAGCCTATCAAGGGCCGACCCGGGTTGGGCCAGCCCAGTTTTCTAGCTTTAATTATTAGAAAGTTTTTTTTTGGCTAAGAAAGATTTGTCTTACATGGAAAAAAAGCTTAACTTCAAATGATGGGAAGATATTGGTGTGAAAAACTGACGGAAGCAAACTGATGCTTTCATCATGATTGGTTAATCTCATAAATAAGGAAGGAAAAATGCTACTCTTGGTCTCAATACTTTAATCATATTTTGTTTTTACTTCCTAAAGCTTATTTCCATTGTTCCTCATCTTACTGTAGTAAGGTTGACAAAGTTGATTGATGAAGCCTCTATCATCAGAATGTTATCCAATAATCTTCGTTGAAGGAGTGACCACTAGGTCAGCTGCTTCCTTTGACCTCATAACTTCTTTTGTTTAGGGTTGTTCTTCCCTTAGATTGGGTGATGAAGAGGGTTTCGTTGAACATTTCATAAAAGAAGAACCATTGGTAACTATGAAAAGCTAGTAGAAGCATAACAATGTAAGTTAAATTGTGTTTTGATTTTGATAGTAGTTTATGAAATCTCTATTTTAGATTAGGAAAAATAATGGAAGTTAATGTTTTGATTTCTAAATTAGTGAAGTTGGAATTAGCTAAGCTCAATTGTTCATTGCTCGAATAGTAATTGTTAAGTAGCCTTCTGTGATTGGTCATTACCCAAATAGCAATTATGGGCAAGTGTGGTTAGGGACATGAACAAGTTAGGTTAGAAAAATGAATAAGAAATGTGAGTAAATGAACAAGTTTAGGCATGTAAATTAAATAGTGATTGAATCATAATGAATAATTAGGAGTTTTAAATAACCCTACCCAAGTTGTTCATTGCTTGAATAGTAGTGGTTCATTAGTCTGCTCGATTATTGATGATGTAATTTTGTGTGAAATATTAAAAAATGGTTGCTATCTTCTAAATGATAATAAACTTGAATTTATTTTTGTAGGGTAAAGAATAATGAGAAAGGTATTAATAGGTGGCATCTATATGTAATGAAGTTTCATGAAACCCAAAAAGGAAAGGGGACATTTGAATAAGATTATAAGAAGGCAATCTAAGAATGGAAGAAGTTCATAAATAAAGAGAAGGAAGTATGAAGGAACATGTATTTGCCATCTAGGCCTAAGAGGAAGAAGTATTTGGCACCATTTACCACTCGGTGTTCACTTGTCAAGTTTATAGAAGTTTCTAAATATGTGAAAGCAGATGTTTCTAAATCAAGCACTTCAAGACAGAAGCCACAATTGGGATTTAGTATAATGCTTCCATTTAAGGCTTAAAAAGTACATTGATGGTGAGGTTTTAAAGAAAAAGAAGTGTTTGTTGGATGAATTGGTGATGATACAATCCACTAAGGGTGTTGTAAATGATGATCAACTGCTAGAAGAAGAGGGAGAAGGGAAAATTCTTGACATTCAAAACTTAGATGAAGTCTGAGAAAATGGTATAAAAGAGACTGACCAATCAAAGGATGATGATAGTGAAGAAGTTGTAAAAAAGAGTGAAGAAGACATTGGCGAAGAGGGAGAGAATAGTAAAGACAAGAAGGAGGACGAGGAGATATTTTGTACAC